AGACTCCGTGGTTCCCGAGATAATAATTTACCCGTCAAAAATTTTCACGGGGCCGTACTTGTTACCGCAAGCACGGGAAAGCTGAATTTGAATAGGCAAGGTTGAGCGTGGGCAGGAAGTCACTACCCTAAAATTTCAGCTTCCTAGACCCCGTAGTTCCCGAAATAATAATTTATCCGTCAAAAATTTTCACGGGGCCGTACTTGTTACCCGCGGGCAGGGGAACGCTAAATTTAAATTTTCTGGATAGTACACGGGCGGGGAACATGCTCAAAAAATTTCAGCCTTCTACCTTCCGTGGTTCCCGAGATACTGATTTCACCCGAAAAACTTTTACGGAGCCATACGTGTTACCCGCGGGTACGGGAAGGCTGAATTTAAATCTGCCGCGTCATCCGTTGGCGGGGAACACTATACTAAAATATCAGCCACCTAGCTCTTGTGGTTCCCGAGTTGAAAGTGTAGGACAAAATGAGGGACACAGACACACACACACAGACACACACACACACACACACAAACACACACACACACAGAAAACCCCGTGACAATATGCGTTCTGTACTGCTGTTACACAGCATAAAATGCACAAAAACTTGTTTTTCTTAAAAAAGAGACAACAGTGTACTGCGTTCAGGAGGAAAACAGTTTAGGTAAAAAGCACCAGATGGATCTGTTAGAAATATCGAAAGCTGAAAAACCTCTATTCCGTGGAAGTTGTCCACAATATTATGTTTTTTCCTGGCGAGCGGATAGCGACTTGAATCAATGCAAAAATCGCAGTGATCTTCGCCGGTCACCATTGTTGGGCGTTTTCGATCGGCCGATGAGGAATAATAAGCGGCGTGTGCTTGTGCGGCTCCGTAACCTGAATTGAACGGAAACGATGAATTGATAGAAAGATTGGTAAAAAAGGATGATAGATGCCTGTTGCAATAGCAGAACCATTCAACAATGAAATGTCAAATTCAGGAAGAAATGACAAATTGTGATGGAACAGCAGGAATTATTTCAAAAAAAAAAAATTTCAGTGTGCTGCCCGAAGCATTTTCCATTCAAAAGTCTAGCCGAGA